CACAATAATGCAGAGTAAATTTGGATGCGACCTACGATCACGTGGAAGCTTCGGTACTTTGGAGGATTACTCGAGTCTTACGTAAGCCGATTGGTCGGAAAATAGACTGGAATCGCTCCGGTTAGCGCAAGCAAAAGTACACAACCAGCCATTCACCAAAATGCATCTGTAAATACATACGTAACAATGACAACCGCGTTTTGCGTTTGCCTAGTCATTTACGTTAAAGATTCTAATGTACTTATGTACAATGTAAATATAACTGTAGAGTCCAACTGAAGTTTCAGTTTCGCTTAAAGATCGAAGTTTCGGTTGAAATTGAAAGGGAGTTTCAGAGAGGCGATATAATTGAAATTCATTAAATTGTAATAAATATTTATTACTTATAAATTTATTCAATATGAAAGATTTATTTCCCATTGATTTTCCAAAGACTCGTTTAAAATAGATTTTTATTTTGTATCTTGTAATTTTGTTATTAGTGAGATAATATATAATTTTGATATTATGGATGTAGTATATACAATATACTACAAATTGATGTACAAGTGATATTAATAAAATATAGATAATAATAGAATTGTAATATTAGGATGGTAATAATGTGTAATTATTGTTTCATTAATTAAATTATGATATTAATGAATTAAAAAGTACATAATATATGCGCACATATATACATATGGCCTTTCTAGAATTTCCATAAAAGTTTCGGTTTTCAGTTTCAGCCTAATTAAAAAAAAACTGTTTCGATTGGACTCTATATATAACTGTTTAAATAAAAACAATTTTGTGGCTTCAAGAATAAATCTAAATGAATTGCCGATGTGTGTGTGAGAGTAATTTATACCTGACTTCCGCACTGAAGGCAACTCAAATCCTGAGTTGAAATGTTTGTAATTAACTTCGTTAATACAGTACATTCCAATTGTCTATAAATTACAACTTATCGCATTATAAATATATTATTTACACACTGACAAGCGCAAAGATTCTTATAGACAGTTTTATATTTATATTTGTTTTAATAAATTTATTATCTAAGAATATAATAAAAAGACGAAATTTAGGTTCAGTGCAATCTCTTGTAACGCGTATATTGTATCATATTTAGGAGAAGCGTTGAATAGATGAAATTATGAGTTGGGTTTTACCTTATCTAATATATCTTCCCCTTTATGTCGTTCAAATTGTCTCTAGACTCGACCTTGAAAGTAAAGTTCGAAAGAAGTTCAATAAAGAGATCTGGGTCTAAAGATATCGAAGACGCGATTTATCGATGAGACCGAGAATGAAATCGGCGCCACGTGACATCACGAATGATTAGACGCTTGACGAGAACAGCAAGCCGTTTATCTATAGCTATTAGAAGGTGCGAGCGAAATAATTCTCTGGGGTTTTAAACGCAAGCTCCCAAATCCGAGGCCACTCGTAGCGAGGTAGAAAAAAAAATAAGATAACTCACGCGAGAAATATCAATAACGATTTGGGTCTTATACACCCTCATATTTCAAATTCATCACTACGTTGGAGCGCTGCTGGATGATTTTTTTCTTTGCGCTAACACTAATATCGAGATCGATTCACTGGAAATGTGACGACGTTTCTTTACGAGAAAAATAATGAGATTAGCGAATATATTCAAATCGGCGAATTATTGATGAATATTACGTGGATTATACATTCAATTTAGAATTATGTCCGTATAATATTCGTTTAAAATTAAATGAAAAATAAAACTTTATTGAGAAGAGTTTAACTTTTTTAACTCCGAAATAATTGTTGGAATTCTCAATTTCACTCTTGTTAAGAAATTCTTAAAATTAGTTTAAAAACTTTATCAGTATTATTTAAATCTTACGAGATATTTAAACGAAATACAATAATGCGATTTAAAAATATGAAAGATTTAGTAGTAATATCTAGGACGATCCCCCTACACATTCTTGTTATTCATTTCATGTTGTCATATTTATTCGATTTGGTTTGATTGCGTGACTGATAATCGTGAAAATGTAAGGATATAGCTTAATCGAGTTTGAAATGACTCGGTTAATTTGTCAAGACATGGACACAGTCGACCGTTTCCAACATCTCCTCACGTTTGATGATCTCGTTTTACTGAAATGGTCAGCCTCGAGAGACTTGTCAATGGATTCTTCTAGAGAGTGAGATCGTCGATATCTTATTCGTATCACGAACGAATCATGGTATTGATGAGACATCGTGAGAAGATTTATTACGTGATCGAGAACAATATACGGAAATAACATAAAAAATTTCTTTTCCCAAGACATTCTGAGAAGATAATTTATTAATAAATTGCCTACGAGATAGAAATGCGAAATCATTTCAGTTCAAAACACAATTGAAGGTGTCGAAAGATTTATATGTTCTGTAAAAGTAACTTTTTAAATTTTTATTAGCTCTTTGAGTAGAATTAAAAAAAAAAGAAATTGTGAGAAATACAAACTAAAAAATAAATGTGTTACACATGTATATATATATATAATATTTTTTAAGTTTCTATTTACAAAGTTAAGATATTGTTTTACTAAAAATTTAAAAATAAGAAAAATCAAGATATTTAGAAAATAATACGCAAGAAAAATTTCCTACAACTTAAATTCAACATTGGATGTCGAATACAGCAGAAATTCGTAAAGTGACTAAAGTAAATGTAATGTAATAAAACTTATAAAGCTTATCATTATGAATCGATATCGAGGTAGGGGCGCCAAGTGGCTCATCGCTCAGTGCGATTGAGACCCAGTTCCACAACTCACGGTTAACTCTTAACCGAGGTTCAACTTGTTTCTCATCTCTTTCCAATTCTAGAATTGGAAAGAGACAATGAATAAATTGAACCTCGGTTAAGAGTTAACCGTGAGTTGTGGAACTGGGTCTGACTCGCGATCTGCGGATCCAGATTCGATTCTACTTGCGCCCCATATACGTGATTTTTTGCGTTCGCCGTTCGGATTCGGCGTTAAACTGTAGGTCCCCTCAAGTATTGACAAACTATGTAGAGTCAAATTCCACTACTACCAGATTGAAATTAAGCAAGCCTCTGCTCCCGAAGGAGCTACAAAGCTAAAATTGATACGCATGGTCCTGTGACCCACGAATAGGGTCGGAAAATTATACAGGGGATTTTGAAAAAAAAAAGAAGACATCGGATCTTCTAATAAGAAAAAGTTTATGCGAGATCGTAAAAACCCGATCAAATGTCTGAATCCTCCTCTCCCCTTCTCAGTTAGAATCGATAGATATTTTCTGATACCTGTGCGTTTTGATAAAAAAACCGATATCATAGACTTTCGTTTTGAAAAAAATTGCAAAGCTTGGCACGTTGATGCGGCAGATCGCATCCAGAATCGATCGTTCACATATTGTGTCTGCTTTCTCTCTCGAAGATTTTTTTCTCTTTCCAGTCCAAGCTATATTTGAGAATGGCGTTTATTCTTGTCTAATTCTCATATAGATATTATTTAAGAAATGAACACAGCGATGTTTAATTTTGCATCAAATCTGATAGCAGTTAATGGAATTGTAATTTTTTTTAATTGCATCTCTGCGACTTTTATTCAATGTGTCCATTTGGAAATTCGATCTTTGCGCGAAATTTTGCGTGACTCTCGATCTTGCCATAATTTTGCTCGATTTTATATCACACATTATAGTTTTTACAAAATGCAAGACCTATCATTTAAACGATCTTTACAATGACAATAAATTTGTCAAATAATTTGTATTGTGATTCTTATCATGTAAAAATCATCAATCATTAAAATCTGTCAAAATATATCCCATTTATTCACTTCGCATACAATACTTGTGACGATATTTTTAAAGAAATATATTCAGTAACGATATAATTTAATAAACTTTATAGCAATAATAACATCGAATAATTAGTTATATTAAAATAATATAGCTGACAGTTGACATAACATTACATGTTCTAATTGAAAGTTAGTAAATTCAGCTAATGCTTGTATGATTTTTATACCGTAGAAATTCTCAAAGGTTATGAAAAACATACAATGCAGCTTTATTCGATAAACAAGAGAAACTTCAAAGTACCTCTTTGTCGTATCGCACTTGCGTGTTTACGAAATTATTTTACATATCACAGGCGCAGCAAGGCGCAGCAAGGCGATCGCAGTATTATCCAGATACGTTATTCAAATACGTTCTGTTAAGCGAAATTCGAAGAATTAAGCATAGATTTGAATGCTTCATGAGATTGCTGGAGGAATGTCTGGCTAAACATTTGCAGTATGCCCACGAGCTCTGAGCGGCTTAAGTTCATTTAAACTTTTCGTGAGAAGAGAACGTCTGATAAGTTTGAATGATTTGCATGTGAAACTATGCGAAGTTACTAATTTTGAACTCAAATATGTAACTCGTTTTGAACTGTCACACCTAGTATGCTTATTAATGCAACTAATTATTCGGCATCATTATTTGATTGCCACAAAGTTTCTCAAATTATGTCGCTCGATATATCTCTTTGAAAATATCGTCCAATATTATATGTAAAGTGAATGAGTGAGATATATTTTAATGACGAATTTCTTGAAGTTTAAATTTTTCTTTAAATAAAGTTTTCCAAGTTTTAATTATGCCTTTAAAATCCAAGTTTCAAACTGAAATTCTGTTAAAACTCATTTGAAATTAATGAAAGATTATAGTCTTAATATCTACTTGACTTCTTTATCATAGGATATTCTACATCCGTAATTCAAAGCATTCTTCGAGACAGGACGATCAAAATTTCCTGTAAATTTTTCCGAGACCTACGAGTTCCTTTGGATCACCGATTATTATTCGGTGAATTCGTTGACAGATCTTAGTAAAAGTTTTTAATGACTTTTCGGGGGTACCAGACTTAGAATAAAAAATAAACCCGATTTCAATGATCTCAAATCGTGTCTCTAAGAATGCTCGAGCTGCAAGTTTTAATTTCCAACGATCAAAGCGACTGAATCGCTTACCGAGCATGCGAATAACGTTCCTTTGAGCGTTTGTCTTCCCTCTGCTGCTGTCCACGTGATTCAATACACCGTGAACATGATGCCTTTTACTGACGGTGGTGGATAGCAGGCTCGAGCGTCGCAGTTTAATGGCGATCAACACGTACAGCACGGTGATGATCGTCATCGGCAGCACAAAGAATAGGATGGTTGAGATCTCAAATGCGTGCCCGATCAGCGTCCACCGTAGTGAGCACCTGGCACTGTCCAGAAGGGCGGTGCCGTTGTCGGCATGGTCGACGTAGACGATACCGAATTGAATAGCCTGTGGCACGGCGAGGAAAAGGGCCAACACCCATATCGCCACCACGAACTTTATCGCCCGTGATAGTTTCGACATTGTATGTGAAATAAAGGGATGACAGATCGCCACGTACCTGCAGCATAGAAAAAAAAAGTAGAAATATTAAAAAGGGCAAACATTTTGTTTCCGAAGAGACTGAAACTCGTCGATGGTTCTATCCTGCGGGTGTCCGGATTATCGATGTTCACACGTCAAAATTCGCGGAATCGACAAACTGGCGCGAGCTTTCCACTCTCTTTCTCTCTCTATTCATATATTTTATTTTATCGATTTCTACATCAAACTGGTGATATAGATATTTCAGTTGAAATACCAGCTATATCGCACATGATTCGTGAAAAAAGGGGAAAAAAACATGATACCGATAGATAAAAACCGAATGATTGGCAGGATGTGAGATCGACGAGTGTTTATATATATCCATGACGTTTTACTAGTCAGGTTTGATGTATGTTTGATATATCCTAATATTTCTGAGCTCACCTCTCGATGGTGAAGGCCGTTATAGTGAGAACGGTGGCATTAGCCGAGGTTTCCGAGGCGAAACTCTGAATAATACAGAATGCCTCGCCGAAGATATACGGAAAATGCGACCATATGTAATACATCTCCGGCGGCAGTCCGAACACGAGTAGCAGCAGGTCGGACACCGCGAGGCTAAAGAGATAATAATTGGTAGCGGTGTGCATGGACTTGTTGCGCGCGATCACCACGCACGTGGAGATGTTGCCGATCAGGCCGGTGAAGAAGATCACGACGTAGATCACTGTGATTGGCAGCACGATGTACAGGGAATCCCGGCGGTCCAGTGCATTTTCATCTCTGAGGAAGGCGGCGATCGTGCTCGAGTAGTTCTCGTATCGCGGATTCGCGTGGATGATACTGTCGATCGTGGAATGAAGCTCCTGAAGGTTTCCATCTTTAGAGAGTTTCCAAGAATCCCTCGCACCTTGAAGGGTACTGATGTTCGCTATTGTACCCGAAATCATCTTGTTTCCTTTATCGAGTTCTGGTTGGCGAGAATGCGCTTCAACTTCGCAAAGAAAGTAAGATTAATATTTAGGACTTCGTGACCGAACTTCAAATCTCTGGAACGAGTAGATATCTCCGCGCTGCTAGTATTTCTGCTGCGCAATTTTTATTGCTTAATTTTATCCATAAATATTCCAGATCATCATAGCGACGATTTATTCTGTGGAATGCAATTACGGTGTCTTCTCCGGAGAGTATTGACGTTTTCGTGAAGATCCGTTGGTGAAATCCCGACTTATACGTGCCGTGGATGTTCCTGATAGTTTTCAGTCTACATCTTGTGAATATTTTTACGAGTTGAATAGTTTCTCGCGATAAGATCCTAACGTTGTTCACCTTCGTGTTGATCTGAAATTACAAGTATCTTTTTGTCAATTTGAAGACGGCTGATTTACGTTTCGAGAAGGTGAACATCGGGCGATATAATCATAACCGAGTTTTGAATACAAGATTATCGTATGCTCGATCTTTCGCATTTATTAAATTGGAGAAAAAAATCTTTTTACAAGTTGATAAAAAGACTTTTAGCAATCCATATATTCTATTTTTAAAAAATTAGCAATTACACCACTTGAACAACGTTTCAGCTTTAAGAATCTGTATTTTTAATTGCGATACGATGATTTTTGACGGAATTACGAACACAATAAAGTCAGAATATTCTTTTTTACTTAATCCGCGAGTAATTCAGGAACAAAAAAATCGTAGAAACGTTAAAAAAAAATGATTTTGTGAGGAATGCTTCAAGCTTTCACGATAGATAGTCGAAAATTTGCTCAAATTTTTTTTGGGCATGCTACAGACTTACAAAGTGAAAAGAAAATTTTTCATTTTTTCAGCTCGTAATTTTCTATATGTAAAAATTACAAAACTTAAATAAATTTAAAAAATATAGTAACCGTTCGAAAGTAGAAATTTCAAGCATTAAAAAACCCTTTTTAAAAATTTAAATTTTGATTATTTTTAACGAAGATATTGATGAGGAAAGATCTTTTTACCAACTTGTAAAGGGACTTTTTCCAATAGTAATGATATATTATAAAAGATAGTAGACTGATTGATAGCGATTCCCATTATCCACCGATTAACGAGAAGACATTCCGTGTTCTCCAGAATGCTTCGATCAATTTCGATCAATGTGCGAGAATTAAAAGGCCGCCTGTAAATTCTTCAATTTGTCCAACGTGCAATATTGTTCTCTTTATTACACGTTTTGCGATCGATGCAGCGCAATTTTTGTTAGCGCAAATTTTTAATAACATCAACGTTATAATTTTGTACTCAGCAATGTAACGATTACGTAACAAAATATGTCAAATTTATTTTGTTTTGTTTGCGCGAAATTAGATGTTACGTTACTTGATGTCGACTGGAGCGTTTAACGCCACACACGGAAAGAACGATTTTGCTGAAAGATTTATAAATTTATCTAGATCATAAATCTATGATGTAGCAAAATTTATATTATCATAGATCTATAAATTTAGGCAGATCTGAAAATAATTTTGTTGAAAATTATTACGTAGCCATGAAAATAATTACGTAGGAAACTCAAGCGTGATGAGCTGTACGATGAGCTGCAAAAAGTTTCGACATTCTAAAGATCGGAGCATAGACCTCTGCATAATGCATAAGGCATAAGAAAGTCAACCAATCGGAGTCCTTTATTTCATGGAAAGGAAGGGAGTGAAAGATTTTCGTTGGTTCATTTTCTTATGTATTATGCGTTATGCAAAAGTTGTGTCGCGACCTTAACATTCAGTTTGAGCGTCCTATATTATTTTGCCGTTCTAAGAAAATTATTTTCGGATTTGCATCCAGCTAAATTTTTAGATATTTTAGCTAGAAAACTATCTTTTCCGTATATCTCTAATCGTTTGAAATACGAAATAAGCCGGTTATCTCGCTACCTCGTGAATCTCGCAATCACCTCATTTTGATCAAATATCTACGTACGTCCGTTATGTTAATTATATGATGATCCTAATGTAGCTGCTAATGCAGGCATCTGCCTGTGACGTGCACGCTGTGTGCACACATTGTAACAGTTTCATTCATTATGTTGGCGATGGATGTATTTTCGGCGAATACTGCCTTTCACAATGATGTCGTTAAAGTTATTTATGAAATTTGTCGCTAACGAGAAGTGGATACCTTCAAAAAGATCTTAATAATATGCGATGTGATTCCCAGCCATATATATGATATCCCTGTTCCTTAATAAATATCCGCTTTCCACATTGTTACAATTATATTAACTGCTCTGACAAGAGTATCACCTTTCAAATATATACTCTGAACTTTTAACGCATCTTTAGCTTGGTCCATTTCTCAGTCATACATGTATATACCATCATTCAATCTTCAAAATATCACGTTTCCTTAATAACGACAAATACTATGAAGATATATATGAAATGCGATAATCCAATTTATCGAAATGAAATTACGGCATTAAATGGAAAAGTGATCTGACTCATATAAATCGACATTTTTTTATATATTACAACTTTTTATATATTATAATATATCTTAACATTAGAATTATTGATGATTAATTTTATTAATATATTTTATGAATATATGAATTTTATAAACATACTAAAAATATATTTTTGAAAAAAGAAATAAAGGATAAATTCAAATAATTTAAAAAAAAACGCCAAACCAATTATATTTTATATATATAATCACTTGGTACTTTTTAATTAAAGTAAAATTTATTAAATTAAATTATGATACTTTTTAATTTTATAAATATTTCAATGTACGTACACGATACACAGAGCTTTCACGAAAAATCGTTTAGGCAGATTGGCTATATTTCCATAACAATAATAATATTCTCAGTAATTATTTTCCGATCAAAATTGATTTATGTACCTAAACAATCCTGTCGATGCAAAATAATCCCGATTTCATCTGGAAGCCATGTGAGCTGCAGATGCAATCGACAATTGTGCTTCGACAAAACAAAACTAGACATTCCAGCACCTTACGAAAGCCACAAATCGCACACGGCACACCACCTTGCATTCTCGACGGAGTCCTAAACTTGTTCTGCGTCATCACGTCAGCGAATCGTTTTCACGCGCGCGCGAGTATGTTCATCTCCACGCTTGTGCCTTCACGTTGATGTTGTAATCAGCGACGCGGTGCTTTCGTGTACGCCGTTCATCGAACAGAACGGAAACACATGGGGCTATTTTCGAAGCAGATCGTGCTCCTAACTGACATCCAACATTGTCTAATTGTCCCCAATGAATCGTTAACTTCTTCGTCGTCAAACATTATTTAACGAAAACCACTCCGTATAACTAGTGTACGAGAAATTCTCTGATTTATCTGGCTTATGTTCCATCTGTACAATTTTCGACGCAAGTGATTTCTCTCGGGTATAATTCCGTATTCTGGAACATCTTTAGTTAACGAATTCTCCAACATGTACCTCGGACATAAAGCTGTTGATTTTATTGTGTACTGTATCTTTTAATTTATCTTTATAACATTAGACGTAACGAATTAAATTTTTTATATAATACAATATTATAATTTTAAAGCACGCGATCTTTAATTCTGCTTTATTTATTGTAAAGAATAACGTTAGCTCAAATAATTTACATTTTAATAACAGAAAGCTGTGATTGGATTATAAATAATGCATATATAATCCGGCCTACTTGCATCGCATTAAATTTTAATGAAAAGTTGCTCGATGAACGCACAGTTGATTATTTATTTTAACAAGATTTTCGAATATCTTTTACATTAAGTGTCTTTTCACGTACCACATAGCTTTTCCTATTCTCGAATTTTCTGAAGTTACAGAAATGTCGTCATTTAGTTGACTGACATGTTTGCGCTTGGTAATTTATTAGTACAAATTTTCAGACGTTGACTTGTTCGGTCAGTAGATCACGGTCGCACTTTGTCAAATAAGTCGCGCTTTAAAATAAGACTCATGTCAGACAAAAGATTCAAACATGTTGAATATTCGATCTATTCGAATAGTTCAAAGTTTAAAAAAATGAGCATCTAATTCGAATATTTCGGACAGTTCGAACAGTTCGAGCTTAAGCATCAATATGAAATATCAATTCGTTATGTCTGAAATTTAGACGGTTCGGACAGTAAACAAAAAAAAAATATATGTAGTATGCTTTGGAAACAAAAGAGCAGTTAAATAAAATTCCTATATTCATATTGTCCTACAAATATCCTGGACATATTCAGGATGATCCTGAGGATGACTTGTGACGTCTGAGTTCGAAATGTAATAATTTCGAACTTTCAGCTCTGAAGTGGGTTAAAATAGTTCGAACATACATTCAGTCCGAACTATTTAACGTTTGAATTTAGGATTCGAATTGTTCGAACTGTCACATCGTCTGATGTTTCCAAGCACTACTTTAAAGATTTAGAAACACGCTTCAACTCATAGCAGTATTTATTGTCTTCATTTAAGTTTTATTTACGAAACAGCGTATGCAAGACTTTTAAAATGACAATGAAAAATTTAGTGCAATCATGCGCATTTTATATCTTCGATCGTACTTCGATCACGATAAATAAAGTGTAGTAGAATTATGCTGCATTGCTTTCGGTTAAGCTCTTGAGATCCATACAGTTAGAAGCTTTTGTTTACGTTACATTATATAGAATCGAGCCAATCTCGTAACGCTTGATGTGCGATTCTATGAACGTCGCTTTTCTCGTATGACCAGTATGACTCCTATAAAAGAAAATTGTCTACGCGATTATATTACCACTTTTACTTTAGAAATATTACAATAATAATTTTCAGTAGCAGCAATATAATACAATACAACGTATAAAATTCTTTGCTAGAACAACAGGCGGTCCAGATTAACGCACATTGATCCTTGTTAGAGCAATACGCAATGTTATAGTTCCATTATCGTATAGAGCTCTTTGTTGGAACAACTGCTATTGATCG